GGCAAAAGATCGGGTCTAGGAGCGGGGTTTTAAGAAGTTTCAGGATTTGGGGTTTAGGGTTTAAGGCTTGGGGTTTTAAGTAGGGTTTACAGTTAAGAAGTGATGGGTTTAGAAATGTCTAGGGTTTAGGGTGGCTTGATAGAGGCCATGCGTTCGGTGTTCTTAGTTCGGGGTTTGGGCTGGCAACGACAGAAGTCGCGACGAACCAGAAGAAAGCTACCTCGTGAAAACCCTAAACCCTCAACCCTAAACCCTAAACCCTAAACCTTAAGCCAGAATCAAACCCTAAACCCTAAGGTCCCTTATACGGGTCCCCCTCCTTCGTCCCCTGATACCTGGAGGACGAACATGGCACCTCAGTCGACCTCCGCCATGATTTTCCCTGCACGGCCTGTAATTCCCCGATCCATCTTAGAGTTTAGGGTTTTGGGTTTAGGGTTTAGGGTTATTCTTGCACCATTGGCCGTTCTACGACAAGCCAACTACACATCATACCTCAAGACCGGCTTTCGTTGAAAACCCTAAGCCCCCAAACCTACCCCCCCCCCCCTCCCTCCCCGGATCTTAGTAGGGAATGAGGGCCCTATATAAACCCCTGTAAGGAATTATATAATATATATATATATATAGGTTCCCTCATTCCCTAGTAAGAACCAGCCAGTAAACCCTAAACCCTAAACCGTAAGCCCTAAACCCTAAACCCTATAAGCCCTCTAAACCCTAAACCCCCCTTAAAGATCCCTTGACTGATCTTTGGTTGCCCAGGCCGGGTACGCCGGAGGACTCGTCCGGGAGACGGAGACCGGCTTCGTGATCGGTAGCGAGGTCCCTGCGGCTGCTGATGTCGGAAGTTTAGGGTTTATAGGGTTTAGGTTTTAGGGCTTAGGGTTTAGGGTTTAGCGTTTAGGGTTTAGGGTTTAATTAGGGTTGAAAGGGTTTACAGGGTTTAACGGGTCCTAGACTTGAGCAAGCCCTAAACGAACACAAGCCCGAATTGATCCCGAAATAAAAGAACACAAGCCCGAATTGATCCCCAAATGCTACTATCAACACCCCAATCCCCCCAAGCCGAAACACCCAATCCCGAAACAGGGATTACCTCAGCCCTGAACCCTAAACCCTAAACCCTAAAACCCTAAAACCCTAAAACCCTAAACCCTAAACCCTAAACCCTAAACCCTAAACCCTAAACCCTAAACCCTAAACCCTAAACCCTAACCCTAAACCCTAAACCCTAAAACCCTAAACCCTAAGCCCTAAACCCTCAAACCCTCAAACCCCAAACCCCTCAATGCGCTGTCAGGATCACCTGACGCAGTCAGAGAGCTCCTCGGATCGGCCACGGGTTTAGGGTTTAGGGTTTAGGGCTTAGGGTTGCAGGGTTTTTTCGGTTTTAGGGTTTAGGGTGTGGGGGTTTAGGGTTCCTATCCCTCAAAGCGTATCGGGGCCGAAGCACAGGAAGGCCCAAGGCCGAGAAAGGGCAGGGACGCGGGGCGGCTGGTCCCGAAACTCTAAACCCTAAACCCTTAACCCGAGGAGTTTTGTTCTGCGAACCTAAGCCCTACACCCTCCCCAAAACTTCAAGTTCTCAACCCTCACAAAATCCTGAAGCCCTTAGCTTTTCTTCGTCCCCAAGCCCTAAAACCAACCTCCCCCAACACGCGACGCCCAAAACCTCCCTAAATCCTAAATCCGAAGCCTTGGGCTCCAAAACCACAAAAAAAACCTAGAAAAACCTCTCCCAACACCCCAAACTCGAAGACGAAGTCCCTGCACCCAGACGCCTGTCTAGGAGCCCAAAAACTCGGTAAGGCCCGGAGCCTCCCTCAAACCCAGAACTCACGCAACCCCAAAGCTCCCTAAAATCCTAAACACGCCCCAAAACCCTAAACCTAGACCCCAAACCCCAAACCCTAAACCCCAAACCCTAAACCCTAAACCCTAAACCCCAAACCCTGAACCCTAAACCCTACACCCTGAAAACAAAAGTGGCCATCTCAGGGCAGCTTCTGGAGCGTGCGCTCGAGGTGCCTCGTTATTTCCCGATTTATTTAGTTTTATTATTATTCCTATTATTATCATTATTATTATGATGTTTTTTTTTTTTTTTTTGGGGGGGGGGGTTAGGGTTGAGGGTTTAGAGTTTAGGGTTTAAGTTTTCTGTTTAGGGTTTAAGGTTTTGGGGGGGGGGGCTTTTGTTAGCAACCGATTGTCCATTACTACGACGATTCTAGGATTACGCACTGTTGGCTTGCTTACTTTGGTTGTGCTTTGATTCTGTCTGTTGTTTGCCCGTGGGGGGGGGGGGTGTTGAGGGGAAGTGGGTGGCAGGGTTTGGGAGTTAGGGCATTGAGGCGCTAGTAGGTTTAGGGTGGAGGCCAGACAGGATTGGGCTCTTTGTCTTCTTCTACGAATGAAGCCTCCCCCCCCCCCCCCCCCCAATTTATAGCCGAGTTTTTAGGGCTTTGAAGGGGGCAGGTAAAAGTTAACTCAGGTTGTAAGGTCCTGAATGCTTAAGTATCGTGTGGTATGGGGCTGAAGTTGAAGGTCGTTGTAGGTTTAAACCTGACCTGAGGAGTTGCACGGCCCTGAAACCCTAAACCTGGGACGTTCCCCCTTATACTAGCAGCTCCTTCATAGGGATTATAATAGTGGGTACTCTAATCCCTAATAAGGACTGTTAGTATAAGGGGGAACACCCCCACCCTAAACCCTAAACTCTTGCCTTCGGCCAACAGCATGCAGTGTAGGCTGTTCCGTTTCGAAAGATGAGGGTCGGTCCTGCTGTGTGCAAGCTCCCCCGCAAGATGCTTAGACTACTTGATGTTCTGTCTTCCCGAGGTACGGTCCTTACCCCTTGGGTTATATCCCCCCTTTGAACCCCTCCTCCCTTAAGAACCCTAAACCCTAAACCCATAACCCTAATTCCTAACTCCTAAACCCTAAACCCTAAACCCTAACACACAAGCTCCATCCCACGGCTCTGTGAGGCGGGCTTTCTCTGCAAGAAGCTCAGCGACTTTGCGTCCTCCGTCCGCAGCCGGCACTTCGCAGGAGTCGGGGTGGGGGGGAGTGGGGGGTTTAGGGTTTAGGTTTAGGGTTTAGGGGTCAGGGTTTCGAGTTTAGGGTAGGGGGATCTAGGGTTGGGGGTTCCAGTGCTTTAGGCGTGGAGAGGATGTCTGGTAGATGATTTTGCTGTTCGCTGCAGGAGGTGATTCGGAGTGTGTTTAAGGCTAAACACGAAACCCTAAGCCCGGAGCCCCAATTCAACCCACCCTAAACCCTAAGCCCTGAACCCTAAAACCCTAAACCCTAAGCCCGGACAGGCCTGGCTGCTGCTCCCGGCGACGAAAAAGCCGTGGCTGCCAAGAAGCCGGGCCACTACATGCCACTCGTTCGGACTTCGGGTTTAGGGTTTAGGGTTTAGGGTTTAGGGTTTAGGGTTTAGGGTTTAGTTTTAGAGTACCTAGAAAATCTACGCGCGGGCTTCATTATATTCTTGGCTTCATAAGCATGAAACATTCCTGGCTGATGGAGACTTGTAATTAGGCCTGCAAGTCCTACGCGAAGGAGGACTTAGAAGGCTGGGGTCTTGAATTCCTGCCCTTCCCTATATAGGTGCTATTATTCCACCCTAAACCCTACGTGGCTTAGGGTTTAGGATCAAACACGCCTCAATGAAACACTTCGTGCCAATCCGCCATTCACGCGAACAACCCCTGCCATATTTCCCCAACGCTAGATCTCGTCGGGCCACCTAAACTAAACCTTTGGCCTCTCAAGGTACGGCCTCGTTCTCAGCATCGAGCGCGCGCTTGATGACTACCGCAGCAAGGTGTGGAGATGTCAACTCAGACACAGGGAGAGCGAGACAGAGACAGACAGAGAGAGAGAGAGAGAGAAATGAGAGGAAACACAGGCTAGGAGCCAACTGCCAATGTTATGGATTCCTTACGTAAACTGCCCACTCTAGAGAAGGCTCCTGCACTAGATGGTTGACCTTTTCTGGAGTCGCATCGTAGCAAGTTCCTTACAGTTCGGGGGTTGAGCTACATGTTTGTCGATTTGGTTTCCTTTCCATACTTTCTAATATTCGACCCCAATCCACCCTCCCCCCTACTCGCCGCATGCCTTCCCTCCAAACGAACCTCAAACCCCAAGAGCCTAACCTGGGACTCTAGTTACCTACAGTTTAGAAGTAACTACTGTACCCTTAGTCAGTAGATTTAATCCATAAAACTAGAGGACCTACAGCTTAGTAGTAACTACCCTTAACCCGTAGGTTTCATCCAGAAAACTAGAGGTAAATAGAGGGTCCCAGGAATGCACCGAACCCCAAACTTGGGATGTTCCCCGTATACTAACGGTCCTTAATAGGGATTATTACTACCCCCCTATATTGGAATCCCTAGTAAGGACTGCTAGTAGAAGGCAGAACATCCCAACCCCAAACCCTAAACCCTAAACCCTAAACCCTAAACCCTAAACCCTAAACCCTAAACCCTAAACCCTAAACCCTAGTGTAAGGGGGAACATCCCAACCCCAGACTCCTTGTTGCGGGCGGCTCGAGGTGCTCGACCTGGAAGCACACATACGGCTGGAGCCGTCCCTGCCGCCTCCTGGGAAGCACCAGCTTGGTCTAGTGTTTCTACTTGGATGGCCCCTGGACTCATGACAAACTTATATCTACTTATATAAAAGGGGCTATGGTATACGCCCGCATAATTTCCAGGGATTGTAGTCTTGAGGTGGGGTGGAGGCGGGGAGGGAAGTTAGAATGTTGAGGCTGAATGTATTTTAAGTTGAGTGACCTGTTTATATTATTGTGGTTTGCTTGCATAGCCCCGCCTCGTCGTGAAGGGTAGTTACTACTAAACTGTAGGTATATAGAGTCCCAGGTCGAAAGTAAATCTGGACGCTGCGCACTTCTTCGTTCTCTCGCCACGTGAGGCTGGCATACATCACTCAGTCTGTGGATGGTGACTGCCGAGTTCTCCGCATGCTGCATCGCGTGGTGGCTTGGCCAGGTAGCGAATACCTTTGAGCTGAGAAAAGTCTACCCCCCGGCAAACTTAACTCATCTCAGTTTCTTAGAGCCCTTATTACAGGTTTCCAATGTTTGTGCCCGTGGTTAATAGAAACAATAGTAAAACCCACAAGTAGAGGGCGGGTGGGGAATATGTGGGGTTCGGAATCATTACGAATATTATTCCCTTATGGTCCCTCCATCAGTATACTATCAGAACCCCTCCAAAACCCTACTCTAGTTATGAAGGCCCCTATATTGCCTCAACTCAGGGACATACACCCCCCCTTAACCCGAATCCCTAAACCCTCCCAAAACCCACCCTAAACCCTCCCTAAACCCTCCCTAAACCCTAAACTAGTGGGGGGGAGGGGGGGGTACTTCACTCCGGTCCCAAAACCCTAAGCCCTAAGCCCTAAACCCTAAACCCTAAACCCTAAACCCTAAACCCTAAACCCTAAACCCTGACTTTAAAGTCTACAAGTCGAGGTCACGCAGGTGGCCGCCAGGCCATTCCATGGCGGAGAAGCTCGGACGTCTTTTGGGTAAACCCCAGCTCAAAAACCCTCCGCCCTTGCATGCGTGGGGGTTTAGGGTTTAGGGGTTAGGGTTTAGGGTTTAGGGTTTAGCATTTAGGGTTTAGGGTTTAGGGTTTAGGGTTCAGGGAGGCCCTGGGGAGCCGACCCTGCATCTAGGAAGTTGTTCAGTGCGATATGTCCAGGCGCAACGCCTAACAAGCCCTCAGGGCCTCCATAAGAGCCCTAAAGACCTAAGCGCAAAAAATGCCCAAAGTAAGGCCCTGAGAGCTTTAAATATTAAAAGCCGTAAACCCTAAGAGCCCTAAGCGCCTCAAGGGCCCTAAAAGCCCTGGCCTTAAGAGACCCGAAGAGCCTTAAGAGGGCCTTAAGAGCCCTAAACGAGCCCTAAGAGAGCCCTAAAAGAGCCCCTTGAGAGCCCTAAGAGCACCCTAAACCCTAAACCCTAAACCCTAAACCCTAAACCCTGAACCCTAAACCCTAAACCCTGAACCCTGAACCCTGAACCCTGAACCCTGAACCCTAAACCCTAACCGTAAACCCTAAACCTAAACCCTAAACCTAAGAGCCCCTACGAGCCCGAGGCACTGCTTGACGTCCTTTGGAAGGCAGCCTCGCATCACATGGGCGCCTCGGGGGGCGTCTGAGGGGGCCTTTCGGGGCTGACGCAGTAGGGTTTTTGGGGGTTTGGGGGTTTGGGGGTTTAGGGTTTAGGGTTTAGGGTTTAGGATTCAGGGTTTGGGGTTTAGGGTTTAGGGTTTAGTAGAGCTCTGGCATTTTTTCATATGGTCTGTTTCGGGAGTAGGGGGTGGGGAAGGTGGAGTTGAGCTTGGGTGTGGTTTTGCCAGAGGTTTGATTTGGTGAGTTCTCTAAGTTCGGGTCTCATTTTGGGTACCCTAAATAAGAGGGGCCGCCTTAAAAATAAGGACCCGAAAAGGGACCATGATTTAGAGAACTACCCAAGACGCCCTAAACCCTAAACCCTAAACCCTAAACCCTAAACCCTAAACCCTAAACCCTAAACCCTAAACCCTAAACCCTAAACCCTAAACCCTTCCTCAGGGTGCAGGCTCTCAACTGTAAGCCATGCTTTGGGTCTGGAATTCCAGGGCCCGGAGGCTTCATGTTTCGCGCAAAACGCGCTAAGCCCGAAGCCCTAAACCCGAAACCCGAAACCCGAAACCCTAAACCTGAACCCTAAACCCTCGCGAGGGCTTATAGTCGAGAGTTCAAGGTTTTGGGAAGGCTCAGGTACTTTTTTTTCTGATCTTGGCGAATTATTTGTCTGAGTCTCGATGCAGTGTGCAATTATTCCCTTAACCCCGAAACCCTAAACCCTAACCCTGAACCCCACCACTTGTCAAGCAGACATGGACCAGTTGAGGGTGCAGGGTCCAGGGCCACAGGAGCCAACGCACAAACCAAAATGGAGAAAAGACATGTGAGGGTTGATCTAAAGGTCCTTCTTGAAAATTATTCAGGTTTCCATTGGTTTATAAGGGGAAAAAACAAGGTTGTTTTGGGAGCAGGTAACTTGATACTACCCTAAACCCTAAACCCTAAACCCTAAACCCTAAACCCTAAACCCTAAACCTTAAACCCTAAACCCTAAACCGTGTCAAGGTGCCGGAGACCTCTACCGGTGCCTCTGGTCCGCGGTCTGCAGCGTCGGCAACGTGCTTGCGAACCAGCCACTCGGTACAGAGGGTTAGGGTTTAGGGTTTAGGGTGGTCCGTAAGCCCTTTACTCTTAACCCTCAACCCTACAACCTGAAGCCCTAAACCCAGATCTCCAAAACTCTAGACCCTAAACATGGGACCCATACTTATAGGGGTCGTAAAAATTACCAATGGTATCCCCTTGTGCTCCCTTTATACTTATACTATAAAAAACTTACTGCAATTATAAAGGCCCCTATATTACTTGTTCGGGTTTCGGCTTCAGGGTTTAGGGTTCGGTGCAGGGTTAGAGGTTTACGGTTGGGATTCAGGGTTTGGGGTTTGTTTTAGTGTTTTGGGGTAGAACAGCCCTAATACCCAAACCCTAAACCCTAAACCTAAACGGTAGTTGTAGGATTGACTCGCCCATCCGTGTAACCTGGCACCTGGTGTTTCAGGCTGGTCGCATGGATGGTCTACGGTCGAATCGCTGATCCGGACGGCGAGTTCTTCGTGCGGCGCGTGGGGGAAAGGCGTGCGCAGGGTTTAGGGTTCAGGTTTTTGGGTACACCCAGAGGGTCCTCTTGTAGTAATTTTGTGGTACTTTAGGTGCCGAAAAGCCACACTATAGATGTGCTTTTTGTTTCCCAGTTGCATACTGAAAACACAAAATAGACACTCTGGGTTTGTTTAGGGTTTCTGATTTGGTACTGGACCCGAGCTCGACTTGCTTTGTTGGCTTAGTGTGTGAGTGTTTAGGGTCTTCGCGAGAGGTTTCCACTGGCTTCTGCAAGACCCTAGGATGACATTCTCTAAGGCATGGCTTTCTTTCTGGAGCCTTAGAGGTCCCACAACTTCTACCTGTTCTGCTGGGTTGGCTGGTGTCTTTTCTGTAATGTTTTTTTCTCCTGTTCTGGGGCCAGAGTTTGTTAGGTAATGGTGCGATGTATCGCATGACGCTACCCTGGTCGAGTTTCAGTGTGTTGCAGGTTGCTTAGAAGGTTAACCCCAGAACCCAAACACCCAAACCCGAAAGAAACTTGACGAAGCAGGAAAAAGGGACTCAGTCTACTGGTCTAGTATTCGGTGGGTTGGGTTTCTTGTCGGTAGAGATGTGAAAGTTGCATTCGAAACCCACACCCTAAATTGCCCTGAGCCCAGAACCTCATAAATTTTCTCGCCACAACCAACACAAGCCAAAAACTGTCTCTATCTTCTGCTTGAACCCCCAAAAGTGGCCCCCATCGTGGCTCATAGCCCCTCATAAGAGAGCATATATTCTATAGGCTCTAAATAAACGCCTACACTCCTAAGCCCTAAAGAAACCCTGAACCCGAGAGCCCAAGAACTCCAAATCCTAAAACCCTCAGCCCTAAAACCCTAAACCCTAAACCCTAGTTTGGGGCCTGGGTAAACCTTCAAATTGCGGAGAGCCAGGCGCCCATGGCAACCCGGTGCAGCCCTGCCTCCTGGTTAGCAAGGTTAAGCTTTTCAGGTTTAGTGTTTAAGCAAAGCTTACGATGTGGAGGGCGTTATGGGGTCTAAGGCTCAGGGTTCATTTAGGATTTAAAGATAAACCCAAAACCCCCTAAACCCCCTAAACCCTAAAAACTAAGGCTTAGGTTCAACTTTCGGGCTCGTTTTAAATCGGCTTAAAGACTCCAAGAGCTGTTTTTCAGCTGGGGTTTTATGCTTGGGTCTAGGGTCTCCTAGGATTCTAAGGGCTTACGTAGGGATGTTCCCCCTTTATATTAACAGGGCTTACAATTAGGGGGTACTACTATCCCTATTAAGGACTGCTAGTATAAGGGGGAACATCCCAAGGTTTATGGTTTAAAGCCAAGGTTCCAAAATCAGGTTTCGGGTTGGCTTGAGAACAGTGGCAGGGTGGAGAATGGATGCTGCCTCAGCTTTCAGAGCCCTACCCCAGATGACAGCGTACATACATCACTTTGAAGGGTAGAATTCCGGTATATGGCTCGTCAGCGTGGCAAAGGCAAGCCCAAACCATCCCGCACATCCCAAATTCCTAAACCTTCAGCTCTAGCCCTCAGCCCCCCTGCACCCCTCAAAGCCTGAACCCGTCTGAACCTAAACCCCAAAACCCTAAACTTTAAACCCCACAACCCTAAACCCCAAAACCCCTAAACCCCTAAACCCCTGAAACCCTAAACCCCAAAACCCCACAACCCTAAACCCCTAAACCCCACAACCCTACACCCCAAACCCCTAAACCCCTAAACCCCACAACCCTCAACCCCGAAACCCTAAACCCTCAACCCCCAGAGAGGGAGCCGCTCTTTCGAGGTGTGGTCGCGCTGAGGATTTGTCGCAGCCCATGACAGCCGCTTGCCTTTCAGGTACGAGGGCTCCGAAGCTTCGGCGTAGGGGTTTAGGGTTTAGGGTTTAGGGTTTAGGGTTTAGGGTTTAGGGTTTAGGGTTTAGGGTTAGGCCGAAACCCTAAACCATAAACCCGAAACCTGGAAAGAGAACGTGGGCCCAGGCTCTGGCGGCACAGCGCGAGTGGCAAAGTCTGTTCGTGCTGCCCCTCGGCCGAACTCCTCAGTAGCTGAATGAGTACACTTTACACTTTTTGAAATACTATAATCAACCCTAAACCCTAAACCCTCAACCCCCTATAGAACTGAAAGTGTACACCTTTTTTGTGGGGGGAGGGGGGGGGCTTATGAACTCAGCAACTAAGACTTGCAGTTAGCCATGAACGGGGTGCCCCTAGTTATCTAGGTAGCTTCTTGGGATAATTCATATTTTCCTTGTTAGGTTTAAGAGGTTTTTTTTTTCAGATGGTTTTAGGGGCCATCCTAGTTATAAGTATAAGTAGCATAGCTTAGGTGAGGTAGGCCCTCTACTAGGACCCCTTATTCCTTTATTTAGGGCTCGGGTTCCCTTGCAACCCTCTTTGTTCCAAAAAGGGCACCCTTTTTATTCCTAGGTCACTCCTGGGGAGAGTCTACTATTCCGCTTTCCCTAGACCAACTTTCCACTAGTTGGGTGTGGGGTTTCGTGTTTGGGGCCTAAACCCTCAACCCTAACCCTAAGCCCCAAACCCTGGAGAGTGCCGAGGAGACCGGAAGCGATACCAAAGACGCCTGGCGCCAGCCATGGGTGTTTTAGGGTTTTGGGATTGGCGGCAGGTGCACGCAGGTTGAGATTAGGTCTGACGGCTTTAAAGTTGAAGGGTCTGGGCCCTTGGGGGGGTCGTTATGGGGCCCTGTCATGGGCCCTTAATGGCAGGTAGTAAAAAATGTAGGGTGGTTGTGTAGGTATAAGGTAGAGGTAGAAGTGCCCCAACAGTTTAAAAGGGACTATTTGGGGTTGTCCTACTGAATAGCCTACTCAGTAACCACTTACTGTGTCCCCGGCCCTCCAAGAAGGATTGTTGTGGAAGGTCCCTTCGGGCTTCCTTCTGATGAAAGCACAGCAGGTTTTGCTGCCCCGTGGCCATAGGCTGTTTCAGCTGAATCCCAAAATCTCTGAACCTGAGCAAGCCCTAAACCCTGAGGGGGGCAAGGCAAGGCTAAGGGGTTGCATGCTGAAACTGAAAGCAACATCCTTGGATTTTGGGCCGTAGGGTCTATGAACCCTAAACCTAAACCTTCACCCGGAACCCTACATGGGGGCTTACCAAATTAGGGGACCCCCCAATAGAGACCCCCAACTAGTAGGATTCTCTTGGACCCAACAAGGTACCCCCAATTTCGGAAACCCCCACATAGCCTAATGGTCCATGTACCCATATGGTATACTTGGGACCTAAAGCTACTATACTATGGGGAACCCCTTTAAGGCCCAAGTATAATACTGTATAGGTACATGGACCCTATAAACCCTCAACCCGGAACCCTACATAGGGTGTCTTGTAAGGGACCTTAGGGGTTATTTAGGGTTATTTAGGGTTATTTAGGGTTATTAAGGGTTATTTAGGGTTATTTAATGGCATAGGGGTTATATAGCGGAAGAAGATTAAGGGCCCCTTCTATGTGTCCCTCCTTGTAAGCGGGGTAGTGTCAGGAATATCGTGACCATGGAGACCGCCAAGCGAGTTCTCTTTGCTGGCAAAGCGGTCCGTGTCCTGATGCGCGGGAACCGCTGGCTCAGGTGGACTGGGTGGACTTGGGTTCAGGGAGTTTAGGGTTTAGGGATTTTTGGGTTTATAGGGTTTAGGGTTGAGGGTTTATAAGGTTTAGGGTTTAGGGTTTAGGGTTTGGGGTTAGGGTTTAGGGTTTAGGGTTGATTATACAAGGTTAAGGGTTTAGGGATTAGTGTTTAGGGTTTCGGGTTTAGGGCTTAGGGGGTGCACAGGAGGCTTGGGGTTTGGGAGTTGGGGCTGCCTTGCGGTGGAGTGTTCGCGGCTTAGAGTCGAGAATTCGTTCCGCGCAGCTGTCGTGGAATATCCTCTTCTCCTTTTGGGGTTCTAGGGTTTGTAGGGTTCTAGGGTTCGTAGGGTTCTAGGGTTTTAGGTTCCAGGGTTTTGGGGTTCTAGGGTTTTGGGGTTCTTAGGGTTTTGGGGTTCTGGGGTTTTAGGTTCTAGGGTTTTTAGGGTTCCAGGGTTTTTTACGGTTCCAGGGTTTTGTAGGGTTCTAGAATTTTTAGGGTTTCAGGGTTCGTAGGGTTCTAGATTTTTAGGGTTCGAGGCTTTGTAGGGTTCTAGGGTAGGATCAAATAGGATTGACATGGTTGATGCTTTCATTTCGCATCGACGAGGTGACGTAACAGCTGTTCAGGTACTCGAATATCCTGGCGTGTGCGCGCTGCCACTGCTAGGATGCCCAGTAGTGCCCTTATTCCCTTTTTGGGGGCTCTAGGTTCCCCTATAAACCCCTTTAAGCAAAACAGGGCACCCTTTTGAATCCTAGGTTCCTGAGCAACCTAGCACTTTTCAAAAGCCAGTATGTTTGCTTCGTAACTTCAGCAAATCGCGGATGTGTGTCGATACGCCCTAGAGGAAACCCTACAACCCGCAACCAACTAAGGTCAGGCTCTTGTAGGGGTTCTCGGTTTGATTTTAGGCTTGGAGCACAAAGACGGCGTAGCTTGAGCCCCCTAACTCCCCAAGACTCCCGACGAAAAGCTCCTACTTGTTGAGGCGGACGGATGATAGCTGGGAGAGCTCCCTGCAAGGACGCCCTGAACGCGTCATAGCAGGGTATGGCTACCTGTGCTCCTTGCGCCTCAGGGCCTGGGGTATTAGGGTTTAGGCGCAGAGTGCAGACATCACAAAACACATGAATGGAAAAGTCTCGCACAATGAGTCAACTACCCTAAACCCTAAACCCTAAACCTTAAACCCTAAACCCTAAACCCTAAACCCTAAACCCTAAACCCTATAAAACCTAAACCCCAAAAAGCCATTGAGCCGCAGACCTCAACGGGAACTCTCGCCCGGGATCTCGTTGCTCCCGTCCAGGAAATCTGGATCCGGCCACGCTGCAAAACGAGGCCATTTTTGGGGAGTCAGGGCTCCCAACGGCCATAAATGTAAGCCCTTGAGGCTAGACTTTCCTAAAGACCCTAAGCCCTTAAACCCAGAGACCCCAACAAAAATCCTAAACCCCGGACCAGAGACCCTGAACTGCAAAAATACCCTCAACCCTGAAGACCCTAAACTGCAAAAACCCTAAACCCTAAACCCTAAACCCTGAAGACCCACAGGGCCGAAGCCTTTTGAGAGCCCCAAGGAAGGGGTGTTGGTCCCTCTTGCCCCTAAGGCTCCAAGATATACAAATAATACCTAGTTTGGGGTCTAAAGTCTATGAATAATACCTACTTTGGGCTATTTGGAGCCTTACCCTAAGGGTCCATGTACCTCATTCTTATATACTTGGGCCCCAAAGTCCCTATGGAGGAAGTACTTTAAGGCCTAAGTATTCAGTATTTAGCTACATGGACCCTTAGGGTTAGGGTTGGTACCCAGCCCCGCCACCTCGACTGGCTTCGGTGGGTGTACGGTTTGGGGTTTCGGGTTTAGGTTTCAGGGTTAAGGGTTTAGGGCTCCGGTTGAGGACGAAACCCTAAACCCTAAACCCTAAACCCTAAACCCTAAACCCTAAACCCTAAACCCTAAATCCTAGGCTGCAGCCCGCAAAGCTGTTGAGCGAATCCTATTGGCCCTGATAGGCCCTATCAACCCCTATAGACCCTATGGCACATAGACCCTATAAAAGCAGCCATTTTGTCTCTAGCCATTGGCCTCCCCCCCCCCCCCCCCCCTCCCCCAGCCTTAAGCCCTAAACCCCAAACAATGGACCCGGACGCATGAGCCTGAGGGCCCCAATGCCTAAAGCTTTGAAGTCCTATAGACCCTGCGTAAGCCTTAACAGCTCCAACCTCGAACTCCGAAACCCTAGAGCCCCTAAACTTGCAACCTTAGCCCCTAAACCTTAAACCCTAAACCCTCGACCTTATAACCCTATAGCCCCCTAAACTGGAAATACTAAACCCTAAACCCTTCACCCTAAATCCTCTGACCCCTTGCCACCCTCGGCCTTCAGGTCGACTTCTTGCGCAGCTGTTTCATGGCGAAGAGCCCAGCTCTTGTGGTGGAGCAGAGTCTCAGATCAAGCTTTTTACAGGGTGTAAGGTTTAGGGCTGTAAGGTTTAGGGTTTAGGGTTTAGAGTTATAGGGTTTAGGATTTAAGGTTTAGGGTTTAAGGTGAAAGGGTTGAGCCCTAAACCCACTGGCTGCGCAGAAGCCCAAAGTCGGAAACAACAAAGTCATATTCAAAAGACCCCTCATGGCGATTTTTGGGTTTCCTACTTGCAAGATTTTCATAGTTAGAGAAGTCCCGAGGTTCTTATTCGCCGCTCGTTGCGAAATAGTCAAAGCCTTCATTCTCACTATTTTTTTTGGGCGATGCAAGGCTGCGGGAGTCCCCAGGGAACGATAAGTCGTAGATAGGTCGTCTTCGACCATCTTTTGCCCACTGCATGCGAGATTCCCGGCGTGCAGAATTCTGTCCAAAGGTGGCGGCGGTTGTTGTGACTGTCATGACATGCACTGGCCTCGCTAGACCTGCGCCATTCATTATTAAGCCTAAGCCCTAGGCCCTAAGCCCTAAACCCTATTAAACCCTATTAAACCCTAAACCCTAAACCCTAAACCCTAAACCCTACACCCTACACCCTACACCCTACACCCTACACCCTACACCCTACACCCTAAACTAAGCCCAGCCAAATGCTGCGGCAAGGAGTGTGGAGCGCATCCGCAACGGCGTGGCCATCCAGCTGCGCAGCGTGGCTGGAGTGAGGAGAGGTTTTTGGTTGGAGGGTTGGGTTGGGGTGGGGTGGGGCGGGGGGTGGGGGGAGGGGGCAGGGCGCGTATTCAGTTTGAGCTGGTATTTGTGGGTGTTTTTTGATTTTTGTCACTGCGGTTATCTAATATATATATATATGTATAATATATATATATATACATATATATATATATATTTATTTGTTTATTGTTTATTTGTTTATTTGTTTATATATATATATATATATATATATATAAGCAGATGGGCGCCAGCCGCACCGATACTTTCCGTGTAGCGGAAGTCTTGTACCCAAAAAGGGTGTGGTTTCTTTTATAAACCTCCGGCTTCCCCACCCCGCGCCATGAACTCTTAAACCCTACAGGCCTAGCTGCGGTTTAGGGTTTAGGGTTTAGGGTTTAGGGTTTGGGGTTTAGGGTTTAGGGTTTAGGGCACCCCCCCCCCCCCCGCTGCGGTTTAGGGTTTAGAGGCCCCCCCCCCCTCCCCCGGCTGCGGAGCTCCAAGC